TTCCATGACACAGATCATCTGAGGAAATTTATGACCACCAAAGCAGCATTCCCAAATGTTCTGAAGGACATTCTAGAACGAGATAATAAGGACTACAGCTCCATGAGAGCTTCCCAACAGAAGAAATCCATTAGGGAAGGCAAATAATTAGAGGAAAGGGGGAAAAAAGAGAGGAGCCAACAACAGGAAAATAACATGACAAGGATAAGTCAATACATTTCAGTTATAAGCATCAGTGTCTCAATTTACCAATCAAAAGACACAGACTGGCGGAATGAATCAAGAAGCAAGATCTGACAATATGCTGCATACAAGAAACATATTTAATTGAAAAAAATTCATATACTGAAAGTCAATGGATGGAAAACAACACTAGATCATAGTAACCCAGGAAAACTAAAAGTAGCTATTCTATCTGCAGACAAAGTAAATTTCAAGCCAAGACTGATTAAGACAGATAAAGAAGGTCACTACATTCTTGTAAAGGGAACAACAATCCAAGAGGAAGTGATAACAATCATAAATATATATGCAACACATACTAGTGCACCCAACTATATAAAAAAATTACTAATGGACATGAAAAATCAAATAAGCCCTAATGTAATTGTATTGGGAGACTTCAATACCCCACTGTCACAAAAAGACAGATAAACTAGACAAAAAAATCAATGATGAAATATTAGAACTAAATCCAAGTTTTGAACAAATGATTCTAGTACATGTCTATAGAGTATTCATCATACAACAACATAATACACATTCTTCTCAGCTTCACATGGGACAGTCTCCAAAATAGATCATATACTGGCTCACAGAGCATGATTAAGCAAATGCAAAGGAATTGAAATTATCCCATGCATTCTATCAGACCACAGTGCAATGGAATTGGAAATCCATGCCAAAGGAAACCACAAGAACTTCATAAACACATGGAAATTAAACAGCACCCTACTGAACAACCACTGGGTCATGGATGAAATTAAAGGAGAAATTAATTTTTGCTCTTGAATTATAATGACAGTGCAACATAGCACAACTTGTGGGACATAATGAAAGCAGTCTTAAGAGGGAAATTTATAGCAGTAAATGCCCATATCAGGAAAAAAGAGCAAGCTCATATAAACAACTTAGTGTGAATCGCAAACTTCTAGGGAAAAAAAAAGAACATTACAAATTCAGAGTGATAATAAAAGAAAAAAAGAACAGTCTAAAACAAAAGCTCGTACAAGGGAAAAAATTATAAAAAATCAGAGCAGAAATTAACATACTGGAGATTTAAAAAACAATACAAATAATCAATCAAAGAGTTGGTTCGTTGAAAGATTAAATAAAATTGACAAACCCTTAGCCAATCTTCTCAAAACAACGAAAGAAAAGATTCAAATCCATGCAATCAGGAATAAAAAAGGGTGAAATCACAACAGAATCTGCAGAAATCCAGAAAATTAACTTTACCTACTTTGAAACTTGTATTCTAAACAGATGAAAAACACAGAAGAAATGGACAGATTCCTAGACACATATGATTTATCAAAGCTGAATCAAGAAGATATAGAAATCTTAAATAACATAATATCAACCAATGAAATTAAAGATGTAATTAAAAACCTATCAACAAAGAAAAGCCCAGGCCCTGATGGTTTCACTGCTGAATTCCACAAGAAATTAAGAGAAGATCTAACACTGCTACTTCCCAAACTCTTTAATGAAACTGAATGGGAAGAAATATTCCCAAATTTATTCCTGGAAGCAAGTATTACCCTGATACCAAGCCCAGAGAAGGACTGAACTAAGAAAGAAAATTACAGGCCAATCTTCCTAATGAACATTGATGCAAAAATCCTCAGTAAGATACTAGCAAACAGACTGCAGCAAATTTTAACAAGATTGAATACCATGATCAAGTAGGATTCATCTCAGGGATGCAGGGATGGTTCAGCTTACATAAATTCATAAATATAATATACCACATCAACAGAGCCAATGACAAAAATCATATGATCACTCAATACATGCAGAAAAAGCTTTTGACAAAGTCCAACATTCATTCACAATTTTAAAAACTACAGAAAATTGGAATAGATGGTTTTATCTCAATCAGATAAAAGCCATCTATGACAAACCAACATCCAACATCATAGTAAATGGACAAAAACTGAAAGCTTTCACTCTAAAATCAGGAACAAGACAGAATGCTCACTGCTTCCACTCTTATTCAACATAGTCCTAGAAACTTTAGCTGGATCAAGGAATAAAGATAGAAAAGAAAAGGGGATGGGGATTTAGCTCAGCAGCGTAAGCGCCTGCCTTGCAAGCAGGCAGTCCTGAGTTCAATCCCCGGTACCGGAAGAAATGAAAAAGACAAAAAAAAAAAAAAAAAAGATAGAAAAGAAAGAAGTGAAACTATCATTATTTGTAGAAGACATGATACTCTACTTAGAAAACCCAAAAACTCCACAAAAGACTTCTAGATTCAATAAGCAAATTCAGTAACATAGCTGGTTACAAAGTCAACACTCAAAAATCAATAGCCTTCCTGTACACAAATAACAAACTCACTGAGAGAAGAAACTGGGAAATAATACCTTTTACAGTAGTATCCAAAAAATGAAATATCTAGGAATCAATCTAACAAGGGATGTACAAGACCACTACATTGAAAACTACAGTACTCTAAAAAATGAGATTGAAGAGGATATTAGAAAATGGAGAGGTGCTAGGGTTTTAGCTCAGTGGCATTAACCACCTGCCTTGCAAGCAGGCGATTGTGAGTTCGATCCCCGGTACCAATAAAAATGAAAAAGACCAAAAAAAAAAAAAAAGAAAGAAAAAGAAAATGGAGAGAAATCCCATGCTCTTGGTTAGGAAAAACCAATATAGTGAAAATAGCTATACTTCCAAAACTGTTATTCAGTGCAATCCCAATCAAAATTCCGGAAGCATATCTCACAGAATTGGAGCAAACACCCCTAAAGTTTTTTAGGAACCAGAAGAAATCTAGAATAGCAAAGGCAATTCTGGGCAACAAAGACAAGACAGGGGGCATCTGATCCGGCCTGCGGACCAATCTATGGGTCTCAACCTGGAGAGGGGATCGGGGATGGGGACAGGACAAGAGAAAAGAGAGATGGAGACAGGATGAGATTCCAATCGAGTCTCTTTTATTTTTAAAATGGCTACAACTTATATAGGGTGGGGGCGGGCCATAGGCAGGAAGAAGGCTTAATCTGATAGGTCATCGTCACATTCGGTTATATGATGTAAGCAGGAGAGGATTATGGGTAATGTAGGCAGGCTGAAACAGGAAGTTTGCTTGTCATGTGCATTGCAGGCAAGGGAAGGATCATGGGAAATGTAGGCTGACACACAAAATGCCCTCAGGCAGGAGGGGCAGGGCAGCAGCAGCTATTTAAAACCGCTCCCTACATCTCCTCCCTTATTATTATATATATTTTTTGGAACATGGCAGGCCCTGGGAGGACAGCGCCTGTCTTGGGTCAAGGACTCCTCATATGAACCCAATCGAGCCTTACCCATCATGGGCCTGCAGGACAGCTCTTGGTCCTGGACCTGTCTTAGGTGGCCGATTGGCATTACATATGTGTCCTAGTTGCCCGTCTCTGACTGCCTGTCCAGTGCCTCAGGGCGTCTGGGCCACAGCGTCATGTGGGCCGTCAGTGGGTGAATTTTCCCGATAAGTTTGTTGTTCTGCCATTTCCAACCGATGGTAATATACCTGAATGGGCTTTGCCATAAATGTGTCAACCTTGTTATTAATGTTATTAATGAGTGTCATGATCCTCTGAAAAATACAAGGTCCTACAGTAAGCAGCAACAGCAAGGCAGCTAGGGGTCCCAAGAGGGGGGCAATGTAAGGGGAGAGATCCTCCCACATGGAGGAGAAGGTGGTTGCTCTGATGCGCTCCTTTTCTCTCTCTTTGAGGCGCTCTCTCAGTTTACTCATGGACTCTTTGACTACTCCCGAGTGGTCAGCATAAAAACAACACTCTTCCTTGAGGGCTGCACATAAGCCACCCTCCTTCATAAATAGGAGGTCTAGTCCTCTTTTATTTTGCAGGACTACCTCAGATAGAGACGTCAGGGACGCCTGTAGAGCTGTCACAGATGCTTCTATTTCTTTTAAATCTTGATCTACTGCTGCCTGTAATTGAGCTAGATGCTTATCTCCCAACACTAGAGCTGTGGTCCCTGTCCCTATTCCCGTTGCTACTCCTAATCCTAGTAACACAGCTAAGGTGAATGTCACAGGTTTTCTCTTAGATATATAGCTGATCTGCGATGCCTGAAGGTAGTAGTCTCCTAGGTGGAAGGTTATGTGAGGAAGAACCTGTACAAGAACACAAAAATCTGCAGACTTGTTAAAAACAGCAGTTGCTATACAGGGTGATAGGCCAAAATTGCAGGCCCAAGATGTTCCTGGGGGTGGAATGAGGTAATTATTTGGCTTGAACTTGGAATGAAGCTGGGCACAGAGTTGTGCTGCCAGTGCTGGTGGATGGGTGGAATCCCCAAGACAAGTTTCTCTACCTGAGACATCAGGTGTTGGGAGCCGCGTCTGTGATAGCTCGCCTTGCGCGGCGGACGTGCGGCCTGTGGTAAAGAGCAAAGCCTGAGGTAGATTACCCCTCCCATCGAATATGTTAGTTTCCTGCTTACCGCGTAAACAACCCGCTCAACAATATAGTCTGCCTGGCAACTGATGATGTTAGCCAATCAGCTTGCCTTGCTTACTTTAACATGATTGGACACTGTACCCGTATATATACCGGTGCCACCCCTGGGCGGAAGTAGAAGCCAGGTAGAAGCCCGGAAGTAGAAGCCCAAAAAGGAGCCGCGGAGAGCGGACCGGTAGAGGCTTTGGGGCAGACTGAAGCACAAAAGGAGCCGCGGGGAGCGGACCAGAGGAGGCTTCAGCTGGGAGAACCCAGGGCAGGCTGTACGGAGAAGGAAAATAAAAAGAAAAGGTTGTCCACTACCAGACTTTGTCGTGTGTCCTTCCTGCCGGCCGGGAGCGGACATCGACATTTGGAGGCCCGCCCGGGGACTGATCACCCCCGAGACGTGGAAGTGGACAACGCTCCAGTACAGAGCTGCGAGACAGGTGAGTTGGGGATAAGCCTGGGCTCTGGGTGGCGCGCACCTACAGGGCTTTTAGACTCCCCTCAGGCTCACGCGTAAGTGGCGGATTCCTTGGGCCTCACGCGGTGAGTAACATATTAAAAGATGGGAAACATGTTAGGTAGCAACACTAAGAGCGAGGGTGGTTGTGGAGAAAGCTCTCAAGAGCTTACAAAAGTACGCAGGGTATCTGAGCAGGCCCAGTCAGGGAGCTCCCGAGAGGGGTCCATCAAGGGGAACAAGGATGCTAAGGAGGAGGACGGGGCTCTAGCCTCGGAGTCGTCTGACTCCGAGGACGAGGGAAAGTTGAATGGCAAGGGGGCCAAAGAGACCAGCTGTCAGGAGCCTAAGTCGCTCAATAAGGAGTCGCAGGGTTCTTTTCCAGCGTTGCCCCGCGAATTGCGCTCTGCTCAACCTGGTCTGCGGAGGAGTAGAGAGCTCCTGAGCGCTCCCCGGCTCGAGAGGGAGGCGAAGCCTTCCGCCCCACCTTGGGGGCCGTTTCCGGAGGCGATTCCTCGCCACGAGGCGGCCGCCTGGGAGCTCTCTCCCCTTTCGCCAGAACAGGAAGTGATGCACGGGCCCCCATTTTCCGCCCAATCACGGCCGCTGTCTTATGCTCCGCCGCCGGCGGGTCGGTATTTTTACAGGCGGCTTTGGCAGGGGGGACGCTTGTCTCATGAGGTACATCCACCTGGGATAGATAGTGGCCCCTACGAGATATTTCCTGTACAAGTAGCTATGGGCCAGGGACGCAATGTATGGGAGCCTTTTGAGATAAAGCAGATTAGAGAACTTAAAAATGCAGTTACAACCTTTGGGCCGACTGCGCCTTACACCATTGCCATGCTGGAGAATCTGTCTTCTGGGCCCCTCACCCCCGCAGACTGGATTCAGCTGGCAAAGGCGTGTCTGCCCTCGGGCAGTTACCTGGATTGGCGAGCCTGGTACGCAGAGTTCTCTGCAGAGCAGGCTGAGAGAAACGCCAATCGGGGAAACCGGGGGTGGAACAAGGAAATGCTTATGGGAGAAGGTCGGCACGCTGATGATCAGACTCAATTCCCCGGCGCTGTCTATGAACAAATCAATGCCATAGGGCTCCGCGCCTGGAAGCAGGTAAGCGGTGCCGGAACAGCCTCCTTGTGTCTTTCAAAAATAATTCAGGGTACCACAGAGCCATTTGTTGACTTTGTGGCCCGAATGCAAGATGCTGCCGATAAGATATTTTCTGATCCGGGAGTGGCTCAACCGCTGGTAAGACAGCTGATTTTTGAGCAATGTACAAAGGAGTGCAAGGCAGCGATAGCTCCTCATAAGAACAAGGACCTCAACGCCTGGATTAGGATATGCAGAGAGATAGGGGGGCCGCTCTCCAACTCGGGAGTGGCTGCTCTCCTGGCCGCGGCTGTACAGCAGAGGGGACCTCGCGGGTTAGAAGGGGAATGTAAGGCTAAAGGGTGTTTTGCCTGCGGGGAGCCAGGACACATTAAACGTCACTGCCCAAACAATGCAGATGCTAGGCCTCGTCCTAGGAATGAAGAACCATATGTTTGTGGGCGATGCAAAAAGGGATCACACAAAGCTGAGGAGTGTAGGTCGGTCTTTGATGCTCAGGGCAACCGTATTTGTGGACAAGATGCTAGAGAGCCAAAAAACGGCCAGAGGGGGCCCCCTTCACAGGCGGGCCCCCGCCCCAGAGACAGGACAGCTCAGGGTGGCAGCCTTCAACAAGGGCCACCCCTGGGTCAGCAGGTGTGGACCTCAGTGTCGCCTCAGGACTTATATTAGTGCCTGATATGGGTGTTCAAGTGGTTGAAACCACCTTTAAGGGACCGTTACCCGAAAATTCCGTGGGTCTGGTGATCGGGAGATCCTCCACGGCCCTTCGGGGTCTCACAGTAGTCCCAGGGGTCATAGACTCAGACTACACAGGACATATTAAAATTATGGTTCAATCTCTTGTGGGTACTATGGTAATCAATAAAGGAGACAAGATAGCGCAGCTCTTGCTGCTCCCCAGTCTCCACAAGAGATTTCCCTCAAAGCAGAAAATTAGAGAAAGTCAAGGTTTCGGTTCCTCAGGGGAAGTCTTTGAGGGACTCCATATGACACTTGGTAAAAGGCCCATGCTCTCACTTAAGGTCAATGGCAAGAATATAACAGGGCTCCTAGACACAGGAGCTGACCGTTCCATTATTTCCAGAAAGGATTGGCCTTCCAACTGGCCCACCAACACTGCAGATAACACGCTGCAGGGCCTGGGGATGGTGTCAGCTCCTCAGGTTAGTGCTTCAACCCTGCTCTGGTGCGATGAGGAGGGTCATCAGGGCCATTTCCAACCGTTTGTGTTGCAGTTGCCAGTGTCTCTATGGGGAAGGGACATCCTCACTCAGATGGATGTCACGCTTACGTCAAACTGCTCCCCCCAGGCTAAGGATATACTCAGGAACCAGGGATATACCCCCGGCAAAGGCTTGGGCAATGCCCTGCAGGGTCGGACATCCCCAATACCAGTAGAAAACAAAAAAGGTAGGCAAGGATTGGGTTTTTCTTAGGGACCGCTGAAGAAGCTCTCCTACCCACTTCGATCAAAATCACCTGGAAATCAAATGATCCGGTTTGGGTACCTCAGTGGCCCCTGCCTAAGGAGAAGCTATTAGCCTTGTCAGAAATAGTCAGTACACAACTTAGATTAGGACATATTAAGCCGTCAACCTCCCCATGGAACACCCCCATTTTTATAATTAAGAAAAAGTCTGGCAAGTGGAGGCTGCTCCATGATCTAAGGGCGGTCAACGCGCAGATGCAGCCCCTGGGGGCGGTCCAGAGGGGGCTGCCAGCTCTCTCAGCCATCCCTCAGTCCTGGCCAGTTTATGTTATAGACCTTAGAGACTGTTTCTTCTCAATTCCCCTGCACCCAGAGGACACTCATAGGTTCGCCTTTACTTTGCCCACCATTAACCAAGAAAGCCCTGATCTCAGATACGAGTGGGTAACGTTGCCCCAAGGTATGGCCAACAGTCCCACTATGTGTCAGATTTACCTTGATTCCCTACTGGCCCCCCTACGAAAATCCTTTCCCAAGATAAGATGTATGCATTACATGGACGACCTTTTGCTCAGCGGCAGGGACCCAGACATGCTAAATAATATGCTCAGCCAGTTGGTCGAGGCCCTGAGACAAGCTAATCTGCATGTTGCCCCCGACAAGATTCAGGGAGGAGAAATGGTGACCTACTTAGGCGCGAGAATCTCCCCTATGCTAGTCTCTCCGCAGAAGGTCACCATTAGGACGGATGGCGTTAGGACCCTAAATGACATGCAAAAGCTATTGGGAGACATTAATTGGATTAGGCCATATTTACATGTACCAAATTCAGATCTCAAACCCCTGTTCGACCTTCTGAAGGGAGACCCAGATATAGCCTCCCACAGGAGGCTCACTCCTGAGGCAAGAGCTGCCTTACAGAGAGTGGAGGAAGCCTTAGGTGGGGCTACCTTACACAGAATTGAACCAGGGCGACCCTTTGATGTCTGTTTGCTACAGACTAGTCTACAGCCTACAGCGGTGATTTGGCAGAAAGGACCACTACTGTGGATACACCCTAAGGTCTCACCTGCAAAAGTCATAGAGCATTACCCGGAGGCAGTCGCTTCATTGGCCCTTGAAGCGCATGATAGAGCTGTCCAACATTTTGGCTCAGGACCACAAGCCATCCGAGTACCCTATACCGCCAGCCAGATCAAGACCCTGGCTGCCTGCATAGATACCTGGGCCATTCTGAGATGTGTTTTCCATGGGGATATAAACAATCAATACCCTAAAGACCCTATCTTGTCATTTGTCACTCAGCACCCTATAATTTTTCCAAAGGTTACTGCCTCTGAGCCATTAGTCCCAGCAACTACAATATATACAGATGGCTCCAAGACGGGGATAGGCGCCTATGTGATCCTAGGCAAGCCCCCGGTTACCATACAATTTAAACCAGATCAGCCTCAGGTGGTGGAACTGCAGATCGTTAAAATGATTCTTGAACGGTTCTCAGAAGCCATTAACATTGTCTCCGATTCTAGGTATGTGGTCAATGCTATGCAAGTGCTTGAGACTGCCAGTTTAATTAGATCCACTTCCACAGTGGCTGGACTGTTCCTGTCTATCCAGACATTGCTTCAGAACAGACACCATAAGGTCTTCACCACCCACATAAGAGCACATACATCCCTGCCAGGGCCTATGGCACAGGGGAATGCGGCTGCTGACACTGCCACTCGCCCGTTATGGATTTTTACCTTACTAACACCAATCGAGCGAGCCCGTGCCTTCCATGATAAGTTTCATGTTAATGCCAGGACACTAGCAAACCATTTCCATGTTTCTAGAGCAGATGCACGAGATATCGTGCGACTATGTGACTCCTGTGCCACATACAAACCTGCCATACCGATGGGAGTAAACCCTCGAGGTTTGATCCCTGGTGATGTTTGGCAGATGGACATCACACATATACAGGAGTTTGGGACTCTTAAATATGTTCATGTTTCCACAGACACCTGTTCTCACGTCATATTCGCAACAGCAGAAACAGGTGAAAAAGTGTCTAATGTGATCAATCATTGCCTGGCAGCTTGGGCCGCATGGGGCAAACCAAAAATATTAAAAACTGATAATGGACCAGCCTATATAGGCAAAGCCTTCAATGAGTTCTGCAAAATGATGGAGGTTCAATTAAAACATGGTATCCCATACAATCCCCAAGGTCAAGGAATCATTGAGAGGGCTCATAGAAGCCTCAAAGAAATTTTACAAAAACAAAAAGGGGGAGTAGGCCAAGGCCTGGCCCCAAAGGCACGATTATCCATGGCACTATTCACACACAATTTTTTAAATTTAAATAATGATAATCG